AATCCTAATCCAAAATGGACTTAAACCGGGATTTCTAGGGTTTCCAATTCTTTGTTGACTATTTGCAGTGGTTGTATAAAGTATTTGATGGAAGTTTTGTTGTTATTGAATAAGCATCTTACATGCTCTCACATTTTTGGTTCACAAATGTTATCATTGTTGTTGTTACAAAGCATCAAAATTCCTAGTTGTGACATCTAAAGAAACAACGAACCGTATCTAGATCTTCAACAGAGTCTGAGTACAAGGCGCTTGCTGACACGGTTGCTGAGCTCACCTGGCTTCAATCTCTTCTTCGAGAACTTGGTGTTAACAACTCTACACCCCCGGTCTTATGGTGTGATAATCTTGGGGCAACTTATCTCTCTGCTAATCCAGTGTTTCATGCGCGCACAAAGCATGTGGAAGTTGACTTCCACTTTGTCGGAGAAAAGGTTGCAAATAAAGATCTCCAAGTCCGGCTCATCTATACACATGATCAAATAGCCGACATCTTCACGAAGCCATTGCCAACTCCAAGATTCATACAACTAAGATCCAAGCTGCAGGTCGTTCCCCGTCCTTAGCTTGTGGGGGCGTATTAGACACAATTAAATATATTATAGAATAGAGGGTATCAATGTGTAATATCTAAACCTATATATGTTGATTGTATGTAACCTAATACGTAACAATAAAATTAGTCGGCACTTTACCCCGATTCAAGAACCGCTCAGTTTTCCGATATCGTATCCTTTAGTAATGTCGCCATCGGCATCTTGGGTCACATTGTTGCTTCTTTTCTCACTAAATAACCTCTCACAACTGCTTGAATATACACTAGCGATTTTAGTGCCTTCAATGCTTTGCTCGACTTTTAAATCCACAAAGTTTGAATCCAATGATTGGAATTCGAATTGGGTTTTTTAAGTTGTGAATTACCAGGTACCCAGGAAACAGTGTTTGGATTCACTAGCATGTGAGGTGTTTGATTTCTCCTTCAATTGAACCAAAATCAATCTAACAAGAGCATTAGTCGATTCCTATTCGAGAGATGCAGGGCATCGACAGTTGGATTCTTCTTCAAGATATGCAGGGCATCTACACTTCTATTCTTCTTCAAGCTCTTCGATTGAACCCACTTTGTTACTTTTAGGTTTAATCTCCTATTCTTAAAAAAAAAACTATAATATGATCTCTATGGCAATTGTAATTTAATTTTGGTGATTGTAATTTTTGTTTCTTGAACTCGTATGAATATGTTCCTTGAATCTTCTATGAGCCTATGAGTATTTGTTTTCTAGTCATGAATTTGCAGCAAATTTATTTTCTGGTGTTGAATCTATACTATGACACTTTGTTTCGTGAACTGATATGAATCTTTACCCTTGGATTCTTCTGTAGCTTGGAATATTGAATATGTAATATGCTCTGAATCCAAAAACGCAACGAAACTACCTCAAAAGGACCACGAATCCAAAAAAGTCGTGGTTTGGATTAAAACCCCAAAAAAATGCATACCACAGGAATCATTTTTGCAGTTTTGTCTGATATAAATTACTAGAACCTATTATTATTATTATTATTATTATTATTATTATATGCTTTTAAAAACATATTTAAACATATAACAAATTTATTTGTTAATATTTAAACGTAATTGAATATATATATATAT